TGTTTGTTTCATGTTTTCTTATCAGAGGAATGTTTCTGGATCTTGGCCTAAGGCCTAGATGTGAGCGTCAGATGTTGTTTAGTGGAAAATGTAAACACCAACCATAGACCTGAAATTGAGAGATTCTCCGGATAGAGATCAAAAGAGCAAAACGAAAACATCAGCAGATAATTTAGAATTAACAACACTTATCCTTTGAACTACATGTGAACGGTTGAAAATGCATATATTTCCCATTGAACTGAAAAATCACTCGTAGAATAACTGTTATATGTCAGATCCACTCGATTACTACGTTATGTACGAAAGCGTGTAAATATAAGTTTTCTATCAGATAAGAGAACATTTGCGAAAGGGGCGACAAAAAGTGGAATAAAGTACCTTTTTTCTCTTTTTTTGTACGTGTATGCGTGCAACGGCTGGTTAGGTATCACTCAGTACAGGGCAGGTTATTTACAAGAAAAGTTCGCTAATGAAATAATTAAACTAACCAGTAATTAATCAACAGAGTTTGTTTCTTTATAATGAGTAGGAAGGCATAAGAACGCTTTTCCTGACCCTACTTCCCAAGGCTAGATTCTCTTTAGGAGTGAGTTTAATTTTGACATTATCAGCTACTTCAGACTACCCCTACTACTTCAAAATTAAAATCAATAAAAAAAGAACTACCTAACACGGTATCAGACTGAAGTTATGGAGTGACATGACGAGACTTCAAGAACGTTCAAAAAATTCGTTATCGCGCTGCATCGATTCAAAGCATCCAGGATTAGTGAATGTTTGTAAAAGTACGACTTATCCAGTTTCTAAGCGCTTTTCACCTTATCTCAGAGCATGGCGCATATTTTATTCGGCTTCCATGCGCTCCAACGCTTTATGTGTTTATTAATTTGCGTTTCTTTTTGTTAATTATTTTGTATTTCAATCTTTATATAACAATAACAAAACACTTTTATCTTCTAAAAGTCCGAAAGGTATAAGCCGACCGCACATGAATGCGAAGGACAATAGAGTATTATCTTGTTTCTTCCAGCTTCGACCTTTCACCCATTTTGAAACAAAAATAAATTTCTTTTCCAGAATCCAGTATTCTCTTGAAGCTACTTGATACCTCTTACCGTGACCCTCAAAAAACGAAATGACAAGCTGTGTCTACTCTTCAAGTCTACTCACGCAAATGTCGTGCTCAATCACGAACTAGGCATAGCGGCCCGGGGGAACTTCTATAAAAAAGGACGGGGGGGTGCTCGTCGTACCTTTTAGGGGTTAAGCGCTATTGGTACTTCTTATTGTGTTCAGCCTCAAAAGGTCCAAAGCGGGAGCTTTCGCAGTACTTTTTGGGGTATTGAACCAAAAAGACATGTCAGGAGATGTTTAACAATCAACTGATGTTCAATTTTGTCTCGTTTATAATCGTCTTTATCGCTGTTAACATTATAAGGGTCAGTTAACGTATTGTTTTAGAATTGCTACCTCTTAGGAGTGAAAAATATTTCAAGCAACGCCCACAAAATAGGACCTTGGTACCTTTTAGAGGTTCATTTCCAAATTTCCGACAAGCACCCCCGTCCTTTTTATATTGGAATCTCCCCACCCTCGGGCATAGTAGTCACAAAATGACTGACATTAAGTCCTGTTGGAAC